CATCCCTTACCATCATCACATCTGCACTTACTTCCCCTACTTTTTCAATGGCTGTCGCATTTTTCCCATCACTAATGGCGCCCCGGTAGATCTCATAAATATTTCCATTAAACTGAGTGAAATTGGTTTTTTTTGCAATAACGCCAGAACCGCGTGCTTGTATATATTTTATATATTTATTTATTATACACGAACGAAATGCAAGACGAGATGCGATAGTCGTATATATTACGACGCGGGGCATGCATTCAAAATGAGATGCAGACGGAGGGAAAGATAAAAAAATCGAAAGCATTGTACACGGTGGTTATATTATTATCGCCGACCGTTCTAAATCTACCCTCGTTTACTCTAACTTTGGTTTGGTGAAACGGGCTGAAGAGATGGTTTTTGGGGCTTAATGCTGGCAAAGATTTTATATTTATTGATATTTATTATTTAATACATTATTTATACATTTTGATCGTGATATATTAGATTAGCAGTGTATGGCGTTGAGATAGTGAGTTAAGAATGAATCTCGAAAACGTTTTTAGTATATTTTATTTTGTCCTTTTGTAAGTGTATATAAATAATATAATGTAAAATTATATTTTTGTTTGGTATAAAAGTATAGCCATAGGTTATATAAGGTATTTAATATGTTTAGAAATGGTATTTTTTCTTTTTCCCTGTTGAACATTTTTGAATTCTGACTTTTAAATATTAATAAGGATTATAAATATAAAACACATTTTAGGAGTATCAACTTTTAATTTTTAAATTCAGATTTGTTTTACACATTCTATAAAAAATAAAAAAAATTTTAGTAGTTGAAATTTTAGTTTATTTTGAAAATTTTTTTTAAATATGTTAAATTTGCCAAAAAGTAATAGACAAATAAAATTGAGAATTCAAAGATGTTGATAAATATTTCAAACTTAATTGAAATCTCCTAATTTAAAATTTTTATATTTAATTTTCTGAAAGAAAAAATAAAAAATGATTATAATAGTTATCCTTTTAATACGCTTATAAAAAATTCATTCATAAAAATAAAGAAAATGTAATCTGTTGGAGGTGCTATTGTTCATTTGTACAATATCTTAATAAGTCAGTTATCATAAAAATTGAACTGTTTAATTAGCAGACCTTTTAGTATGCACTACATACCGATTACATTATTTGTAATAAATAATAATAAGTGCTAAATATAACTTAATTAATTTTATTTTTTATAATAACGGTATTATGATAACTATAATTTCAATGTTGTAATATTTTATCACAATATCATAATAAAGTCTACTTATTACAACGGAAATATTGTCATGTATTGATAATATAATACTAAACAATGAACATAATAATATAATATATAAGTTATAAGTTATACTAAAACATATTAATATTCACAAATCACGACTACGGTACCATGTTAGAAACAAGGATTTTGCATATTATTGTATATTAAATAATCTAGTAAACTTCTTAAATTTTTTAATTCAGTTTTACAAAATTTGAATGCATCTATACAAAATTGTTTTTAATTTTAGATTCTTAGCGAAAAGAATAATATTGAGTTTACTATAAATAATATATATATATATATATTATATTATTTATATAATTTTCACAATAATGTGTGATTTTTTTGTTTGTTTGTGTATGTGTAAACGATAAGTAAGCAATAAAATGTTAAAATTTTCAACTTTGAAGATGGTTTTGAATAGAAAATAGAATTTTGTTTATATTAATTAAAGAAATCAAAATTAAAAATTTTTAGTTCTTTTTTAAATAACTGTGGTAAAAAAATGAAAAAAAAATTGGAATTTTTACTCAATTTCAATTTTTGACAAAATTTATTTTGTGTTTTTTACATAACTTTAAAACGTATAACCATAGATGCTTGAAATTTTCACCAAATATTATAGTATTTACGATACAATCATCAAAATATTTGAGCTATTTATTGACGTCAGAAATTTTTTTTATTTTTTTCCTATAAATGTCGATTAAAAATTATTCGCTGGGTCAAAATTCTTGAAACTTTATTACGAAATTTCGCATACGTTGTTCTTTTATGTGTATAAAAATATTAAAAATAAATTTTCTAAATATTTTTAACAATATGCGTTTGAAGTTAGAATTTTGTATTATTTCTTTGTAATTATAAATACTCGCAAACTATTTTGTAGTTAAAAATTCATGTTATTTACTTACTATACAGTATACAATGTTATATGCAATGGTAATACATATCATATATATATATATTGCAGATAAGTTTTATGAATATAATTTAAACGTTTAAGTTTTTCTATGTATCTGAATTCTATGATCCTTTAGTGTATTTTATTATGTCAACAGTTTTGTGTTATACTTAATGCATAATATATTGCATTATTACTTGAATAATAAGTTAATAATAAGCCTTGCTAATAGTTAATACCAAGTTAAATTTTTATTAAGTAATCAAATATTTTTTTACAATATTTCTGAATCTATAATTTTTTTAAATACAAAACTTTCATCTAAATTAAATTATTACAATATAATCTTTTAATTTAAAAAAGTAAAGATACTTGTATACTTTTTTTTTAGTGATGAGGTAACAACTGATATATCTACATGATTAAATTTACACTAATCGACTAATCTATCTATAATATTATTATATATCTTACTATAATATGGATTGTTTATAATTTGTTATTTAAAATTTAAATATTATACAAATTTTGAGTTTATCGTTATTCAAAATTAAAATAATTAATATATTTTATAAATTATAACTACTAAATAATTGGAATTTTATTATTTTATCTAATTATATACTAAATATAACAAAATATAATTGTTTGATAATATATCATATTAATCGTTATGTTTTGTTTTGTTTTCTTTAATTATTCATGTTTATCATTTTCCGTTATAATTACGTTTATAAATTTCAATCGTTTTAATTTAACGTTATAATCATAACGTCATTATAACATTTGTAAGCCCTGTTGTTAGGTTGTTTCTGTTATTTTAGTTTTAGCTATCAACAATAAAATTGTTCAATATTATTATTAATAAAGTTGTAAACAATTTGCCTTAAGGTTAAGATATATCAAAAATTGAAAAGAATATTTTAAAAAATTGAAAAATGTACAACTATTTTTTGCCATCGGCTATTTTGTTTTGAGTACATAGCACATATTATTATTAATAATAACTTATATTATTAGGAATATTTTATTACTTTTGTTTTTTGTTTGATAACTAATCGTAAGCAAATAATTTATTTAACAAAACATTTACTAAACAGCATGAAATCACAGGCAACTGGTTTTACTACGACTTACTTGTAATTATATATAAATATATATATATATGTAATTTAAATATGTGACAGTTGTTAAGTAGACCTGTCAGATTTTTGTTATTAATTCAATGGAAAATCTCAAGTTCATACTCAGAAATATTTCTTTAAAATAATTTTAAAAAAAAAGGTGAATATAAATATTATAATTATACATCTATAAAGTGTACTGCGAGAAAGGGATATTTATTGGTGTGGTCAAAGATTTAAAAATACAGTTCAACAGGTTGATAAAAATATAAAAATGAGCCTTTCCCAACTATTTGTCACTAAACGGTGGATTCACCGACATAAAAAAAAAACTTTTAAAACTTTAAATGAACTGATGCAAAAAATAATAAAACTCGTCTGGTTGCTCGGTTCGTTAATTATTATTTTATCCGCAAAGAACTTGAGGTTATTCTCACCCTACTCTGTATCCCCGCCACAAGATCGTAGTTCTTTATTTTCAATTACTTTTTTCTTTCTTTTTTTATTACTTTATATTTTTTCTTACTCGTTGTAAGTTTCTTAATGAAACCTACCCTAATGATGAACGGATTAAGCATTATCTCATATAATTTTAAAGTACCTAACAGTTTTCTCCTTCTTTTTAAGATTTTTCGACGTAGTTCAACAATGCTAACGATTTTCTTAATAAAAGATAATTATAATTACCATTGTTTATATTATTTAATTTTATTTAAAATTGTTTAGTGATGAAAATTATGTTCTTATCATCATAAAAGTCTTCTGAAAAAAATAGTATTATGATGTTAATAAATAAAGAAAAAATAACAAGACATATTAAACACAATTTCAAAAAACATAGTGTTACTATTCTTTCATCGAACAATTTTTTCAATAAATTAAAAGTAGTGTGTTATGTTTTTTCATGTTGTATTAATAAATTAAAATTTTGTCGGTTTATTAAATAGAATAATGAAGTTAAAAAGTAGGTACGAATAAATTTTGAATTTAAAAAGTAACACTATTAAAGTGACAGAAAACTTTTTTACATAAATATTATATCTTTTTTATACTATTAGACACATGTAAAGAAAGTCTTAAAAATGTAATAAAAAAAAAAAGAAGAAGAATTAATGATAGTATTTTATTTGTCATTTGATATATATATATATATATATATTTAGGTCAAGTTAGGTACTTACCTAATCTTATACTTATAAGTTATAAAACATAAATCATAATACTATAATAATATGAATAGTATATTATTAGCAATATACTTTTGTAATATATATCCACAGGCCACAGCTGAGATGAATAAACTACATACCCTGTAACGACTATAACTGGGAATTATGCATATAATGCGTGTTATAAGTTATAACATATATTATATAGATAAATTTAAGTATATTGTAAGACAGTTGTCGAGCTATATGTCACAGAATTCTTGGACTGTTGAATTCAATTAAAAATATTACGTCATTATTGGTACGTGAGCATCGGTAAAGTTGTTAGATTTTGTTGAAAAAAATTATCTTTATCCTGGCATGGAATAGTGGCAGCAATAGTAAAAGCAACAAACGCTCTTAGCTTATTGAACTGAAAATTGAGTTATTACGTTTTTTTTTACACCCCTCGTTAACTTATTTATATATACATGCGCATTTATAAATTGGAGGAAAGAGGAAGAGAGAAAACTTACATGTATAGTTATTGGCCCAAAAATGGCTTCGGTTAACGTTTCCAAGGAGACCACGACGTGGAAGCGCTTCCGCCGTTCCATCTCCGACCGAAGTTCACCGGCTCGCCAGCCTACCACCACCACTCTTGTCAATTTCGTGTCGTTTGCGCTTCATTTCTTTCTACAACCACGCGGGGCTGTTCAGGGGAAGAATATTTTCATAATACCAATAACTATAAAAAAAAAAAAAAAAGAAAATATAACCAGGTAAAAAAAAATGTTTGTTTCCATCAACGTGACATTGCAGCATTGTATATATATATACATTATTATAATATTCTCTATGAAAAAGATTCCATCTGATAAGAATTAAAATGTATATAAAAATGTATTTAAATAAAATAAAAAATATTTCCTCTGACGTCAAAAGTTACCAAGTTTTGTGATGCTGAAAAATTTGTTAACATAGATACATGATCGTGTTATATAATATGATATTATTATTATACGAGAAAATTAATTTTCATACCTAACGAATTTTTTAGTTTTAAAATGAAAAATAACATATTATACACTCTATGGTATATTTAAGTGTTTAAACCCATTATTTCAAAAAGTTTTGAATTTCTAGAAAGTATGTTTTTGATATAATTCAATGCTATTGTAAAACAAAATTTTTTTTAATTTCTTCATCATAAGTTGTTAATTTTTCAATAAAAATTTTTTTTACTTTGATAGGGTTAGAATTTCTCAAAAATTTATGCAAAATATTTTATAGTTAGAAATTTGTAAAAATTATTTTTTTTTACCTTAGATTAAGAAACTATAAGTATTTTGTAGTAAAACATTTATTATTATAATAAATACGACAGGTTTGGCAAAAATTAAATCTATTGCTACTATAATACTCATAATAATTTGAATTACTTATATAAATATCAAAAACATATCATGAAATTAATGATATGTTTTTGATATCAAATTTGATGTAATCTGATAAATACCAGTCTAGAATTTTTTTTTTTTTATACAATGATAAATCATTGAATTTGAATTTTACACATCCATTATATTCATTAAAATAAATAACACGAGGTTAGGTTAGTTAAAAAACATATCGTGCAGTTTTCGTGGCCAATTATCTACAAATTTATCGGTAACCACATACGTAATTACAATTTTTTTACATTCTAATAAAATGGTTAATTTGAGCCCAAAATACATTGAGGATAATAATTATTAACTAATAGTCCAAGTTAGTTCTTTATTTTTTTTCAAACGCAACATTGATGTTCCATTACCATTATCAAGCATTCACTACATCATACTAAAATATGTTTTTATAATATTGTAAACGGAATTTTCGTTTTCGAAATTATTATCATAAATTTATAAAGTTAAATCATTGTATTCTTTTTTATTTATTAATTACACAATAACTACAAAGGATTTTTACGAAGATTAGAGTATGATAGAGTTTTGTAAATACATATTCAGTTTTTATTTCCAAGACATAAATGTACACTTACTTTAGTATAAATGTATTTAATTTTTGTTTTTACATGTTAATACTGAATAAAATTAAAATAATTTACTACAATTTTAAAGATGTGTATTTTAATGAGTTTAGAGTAGCGTTTCTCAACCAGGAGGTCGCGTAGGTCAATAATAATAAAACACTGATTTATAAAATGTACTCTTTTTAAAAAAATTTTATTAAATAAAAAAACTACTTAAAATGATAATAATAAAATTAACCCGATAAGGATATACATCGATAAATTAATCGTTTCATAACACACAAAAATAATATTGATAATAACAATAATAAGCAGTCGATGAAATATAGATATCTCATCAATAAAACGGGCACTCCTTCGCTAATGGAAATTCCTAACGACCAGAGATATACCGTTAAAACTTGACAAGTTTAAATTACTAGTAAATATGTTTTACTCTAGATTAGAGCCCCCACATCACATTTTTGGCTCTGGTACAAAACTAAATCCGGACTCATCTTAAGTAAAAATTAATTTTTTTGACATGAACATAGGTACTTTAAATATTAGTTTTATGTATAGATTATAGGAGTAGATATAATTAAAAAATAAAACATCAACAAATTCATAAATATATCCTGTATAAATTGAAAATGTTTTTATTTTTTTAATAAGGTACTATAGGCCAATCCCGTGGATATTTTTCTCTATATTAGCTATTTATATATTATAACAAAAATTCAAAAAATTTTTTACCATTACAATCTTTATACATAGTTTTTCTCATTTTAAATACGTTATCGATATTAGAAGGATTTGCTAGAATCGTTTTTTTGACGAATATTATCGTTAATATGTTATTAATATGTTTTTTATGTGACCATAAACAATGGTCAAACAAATCAAGTTATTATTTATATAAACAACAAACATACTATTTCGGTAGAACAAGTGCATATATTTTCTGAAGTTAGTTGTTAAAAAATAAATCTAAAGAATAAAAATAAGTCTATAACCATATTAGCTTCTTACTGTTCACCGCAAACTAATATATTCGGTTTTTTAGTTGAGCTAGCAAAAGTACCGATCGAAAGAGTAATTAATAAAAATTGTATTTGAATTGGTGATATTAATATTGACATATTAAAAGAACCTACGTTACTTATTACAGAAAATTACTCAAATATTTTATCATCAAATGGATTTATTTTCAATATAAATACGCATACTAGAGTGGGTTATGACAATAAATCATGCATTGATTATATATTTAGTAGGAATGTTAATTTAAATTTAACAGTTATCAAAACTAGCATTATTAATCATTATACTACAATGTGTAGTTTAAAAAATAGACAGGTTATTAACAAATCCACAGGTAATTATCCAAACTTAATATCATATATAGATTATAAAAAGACAAATAGTTGGTTAGCTACTAATGAATGGAACGGATTATTTGAAACTAACAATACAACAACAGTATTAAATATTTTTAACAATTATATACTAGTATACTGAATAGTTATATGATTTCAAAAATTCATACACAAAAAAATAAGCATAGGTCAAAATTATGGATCACAATAATTGTGGTATAATTATATAATATAATTACCAATTATTGGTATGGTGACTTCATTAAAATATAGAGGTAAACTTAACATTAAAACTAAAAAGGATCCAACAAATAATAAATTAGTAACTTACTATAAAAAATATAGAAATAAATTAACGATTTTTATCAGGATGGCTAAAGAATCATATTATACAAATAAAATTGAAAAATGTGAAGGAAAACGATAAAAGAGAACCTATTATCCTTTAATATTAATAAATCAGTGTGTATGCCAATAGTTACTAATACCACACAGCTTCCTATTGATTATAACTTTATAGTCCATAGTTTCAGTATAGATTCAGCAGTTATGACTGCAAACCAATGAAAATAGTAATTTCATTTAAATATTTAGGGGTGACAATGGATCACAAACTTAAATGGTCTGATCACATACATAATATTAAAAATAAAAAGAGGAGATTAGCAGTTTTATTTACAAAATTTGATTTTTAAATAAATTAAAAATAACTACTATGTACATGATTCTGTGTCATTCAATTATATTATATGGTATACCTGTTTTGGGGTGAACAAATAGGACAGAAATAGCCGCAATTCATATTGCTCAAAAATATGATATAAAAGTAGCGTTCTCCCTTCCATTATCATATCCAACAGCGGAATTATTTAAATTTACAAAAAATACATTATCTGTTTATAAATTAAATATAAGACAAATTCTAATTAAATCTATACAAAGGTAAAGTTTAAATGATAAAGAAATTATAAAAAAGAGAATAGGAAAATGTATAAAAATTCCATTTACATCCCTTAGTAGCTGAAGAAGCTCTCTTGATCACGTGTGTAAAACAATTTTTAACAATTTAGATAATAATGTAAAGAGCCAAGTAAAAAAATGTTTGTGAATTATATTCTAACCATATAAGGAACATAACTAATAAATATAATATAAAAAAATTACCAAGTAAAGTTGAGGTTGACCTGAGTGAATATAAGTGTATAAATCAAATATTAAAATGTTGTTATGTGTAATAATCATAAGATCGTAATTTGTAATGTAAAATGTTTTTGTTTTTGTTTTTTTTTATATATTAATATGTTATAGTTATATAATTTAGATTTGTGTATACTATTAGTTTATTAACGTTAATTTTATTATGTTATATTTTCATTGTTTTGTTATTTTATTTTAATATATCAGATACGAGAAGTTTAGCTCAGTTCGCATATCTACGTATCATTTGTATTTTATTGTAAATTATACTTAATACTCAATATGATAATCGTGAATATCGCTTTTGTTTGTAGGATTTGTATTTTTATGCTCACAAATTTCTTTTTTGGAAATATTTCGAATCAAAATAGGTTATTTAGCAGGATATTCTATGTCTACATTTTCATTTTTAAATAGTATAGTTTCAATAGAGACTAGAGTGTATATTTTTTCACCTTTTTTGGTTTAAAAAATGTACTTATTAATTGAGTGTTTAAAACTGCTTTTTCTTCTTTCGGTTTTATTTTCTGATATCTAGATTTGTGTTTATAAAAGGATATTTTGAGGTCGAATAATCGGAATAAAACAACTTATAATATTTATGTCTATGCGTAGAACTGCACGTTTACACAAAATAAATATTTGAAAATAACATAAAAATATAATATATAGATAAGAACTAACATATAACTATAAAAATATTTTTTCATTAATATTACACAACTAAATTACTACGAAAAAAAAATATCACGTGATAACGTTTTATAAATAAATCAATTTTGATTACTATTTTGGAAAAGAGAGAAAATTTCATTGGTGTGATATCATAATATTTAAGTTATAATCATAAGCCCTAATAATCGCATATAATTTTAAAGTTGATTAAAAAATATTTAAAACATTTTTCTAATATAATATATTGAAGGAGTTATTTGTACGAACACCAAGCCCCTCGAAAGTTCACGCCCCAGTACCCTCTCCCCCTTGTGTGAGCCTTTCTCTAGATGCTTCCATATTTCCACATTTGAATATGTCGTAATCTTTTCTCTATTTTACCTATTTCACTAAATGTTTAGTTTATCCCTTTTATTAGTAGATTAAGAGGACACGCTGTTCTTAATTGTTAATGTGAATTAACTTATTAACTGAATTAAAGTT